AGCAGAGCCTCCCGTAGAACGCCATTGCTTTGAACCGTCTAGGTCCAGTCCTGTTCTGGTCCTCTCCCTTGCCTTTGCCCGCGCCCTTCGTGGGCCGCCTGACACCCCCGACCGGCGGCGGCGGCGGCGGCACGCTCCATCGGGAGCCTTGAGACGGGGGTCAATGCAAACGGGGGTCAGCCAGAGCGCCGGATCTTGCAGGATCCTGCAGGGACAGGGTCGCACTGACCCGGGCTTGGGTGCAGGGTCTTGCAGGAGTCTGCAAGGCCCGACTGACCTGGGTCTGGATTGACCTGGGTCAGAAGATCCCCGACTCCAGATCGGCCAAGAGGGGCTGGCTCGGCCCAGGCCACGGCTGCAGGCCGCAGGACAGGCTCGTCGGAGGCACGGGCGGCCTGTTGCCCTGCAAGCCCCCGGGGAGAGGCGGCCGTTTCGGCATCCGGGCCCCGCTCCTGAGCCTTCCGCCGATCTCGAGCCTATAGCTGCCTCCATACGCCCGTTTTGAAACGCAACGCGTCCCGTGTTCAAGACGTCCGTGTCAATACGTGCCGTGTTGGCTCCACGTATTGGACCACGTTTTAGCGAGTGTATCGCGTCGGACCTACGTTTTCAGCCTACGTGTGGAGCTTCGTATCAATACGATACGTGTTGCGTGTTGCGTATCGGGGCAGCTAAGATCCCGAGCTTTCTTTCTTGTTGGCATGTCTTCTACCGACTTTTTGTTCGTAATCGTCATTCCCGAGCAAATGCATGGACAGCAGCCTTCGGACGTCCGCGAAGATTTCCTGGATCGGCGCAGGGGCCCCCCGGCGGCGCCTATGGTGCCGCCTCTGGCGCACTGTGCGCGCCATCGAGGGAGGTCCAATGCAGATCCGAGGACATCCGCGAGAAGCTCCGAAAGTTCATGTTTCCTGAAGCTTCCATGTTCTTCCCCTCCCTTCTGATCGTCTGTCTCTCCCTTCTCGAAGTGGGCATCCTCCTCCACCTCTTCCTCCTCCCCCTACCGTACTACCCCTCGGAAAGTGCAGGGCAACATGATGCCTGCTTTCCGCAAGAAGTTGAGCAGCAGAGCGAACGGGGAGGGGAGAAGGCATTTGGAGCAGGAGGGCTGGGGGGCCGAGGAACCCGAGAATCGAGGTTCGAGGATGCAGGTTCTCGAAAGATCTTGGCCCTCCTCAGGCTTCCGAGAGACTGGGGATCCTGGATGCCCTCAGGGACATCTGACCTGAGATCTGCTGGAGATCTGCAGGGGCGGCGTCCTCCTCCTCCTCCTACTCCTCCTCCTCCTCCTCCTCCTCCTACTCCTCCTCCTCCTCCTCCTCCTCCTCCTTCTCCTCCTCCCTCTCGAGAAGTCAGGGGGCCGGATGGGGCTGGGCCAGGACCAGGAGGAACCAGTGCGGAGCGTTCCCGAACGCTCTCAGAACGCTCCTGGGACGCTGTGGCACGGCCGCGGCGCCCGATGCAGTCTCCAGAGTCGCAAGACCTCAGAGATCCCCGATTTGCGCCGGTCTGATTTTGCCCCGGTCCTGGTCTCGTCTTGCTTTGGGAGAGAGGGGAGGCACGAGGGGCCGAGGAAAGGGGGGTGGGTGAGAATAATGCTGGTTGGACTGGAGACTGTGTTTTGTTAGGGTCGGGCGATGACCCGGGTTATCGGGCTTGCCCCCCCTCCCCCCCCAGAATAATCTAACCTTGCCGGTTGTGCAGGTCCGCAAAAGGGGGAGGGCGGGCATATGCAGGGTTGCCCACAGCGCGAGGGTTAGGTTATCGGCCGGCCTCCTCCTGCCCCCGCCCCCCAGGATAACCCGGGTGATCGCCGATTCAAACAAAAAATCGGTCTCCTGGCGGATGGACAGATGCATGTGCGCCGACCAGAATGTCGGTGTGGTGGGTTTGGAAGGATGGAGTTAATGGGGGAGGGAGGCGAGACCGATTGTAAGCGGTACGGGCGCATGCGCGGGGACCAGTGGGACATGTCGAGATGCACATCTCAGTGGTGTTGCCACGCAAGTCCGCCACCCACCATGCAAGCACGTGTGAGACCACTGTCCGAGGCATCCTGCAAGCTTGCTGCCGAGAGAGCTCCATGTATTGCCTGAGGGCCAATGGCAACGAGCTCAAGAGGGCGCTACGTGATGTTATGGGGGGCGATGTGCTGGGCTAGCGGCTAGCGGCAGCGACGAGCGGGGTTTGTTTTGGCAACGGGATGCATGGCGGCGCATTGCAGGAGCACAGGGTGGGTCGGGCGGCTGCCTGACCTCGGGGGGTCGCATCGCAATGGCAACGAGCTGGACCAAGCCGTGGCCATGTCCAGAGCAAGTGGCGGCGCCAGGCTTGATGGCAGCATGCTAGTTGCAGCAACGAGCCTTGGGGGGGGGGGGGGCACCGCGAGAGAAGGTCCTTTGGTTTCTAAGTGGGTATGTGGTGTGTTTCGGTGAGGCTTCCCATGTCCAGAATTGCTCATCCTGTGTCCCACTGAGGTTTCCGAGGCAGACCCCAACCAGGGAGCGAAGTAAATACCATCAACGCCACCAACCACCAAACACTACACCGTCTGCGATCGCCCTACCCTTAGTGACACAAGCTCTTCACCGAACAACGAAAGCCGTCAGACATGGAGGCACCAGTTCTACGCGCACTCAAACCCGGGAGACACAAACGCTACGCGCACGAAAACCTTAGAGACACAAATGCCGCATGCACTCAAACCTTAGAGGCATCCGCCGTACTTGCACTTACACATTGGAAACACGAACACCACGCGCAGTCAAAGATGATAGACGCAAGCATTACACCCACATGACCCCATGACCCCTACAATAGAGATTCCAATCAGACCCCACTGCCCCACCATTATTCCAATATGACTCCATCCAGCGGGCATGAGGGTTAAGAACAACCTTAGCTTCGGAGGGTCCTCTTTCGCCTTGGTGGCTTGTTTGTGCCTTGGACATTCTCGTGGATCCTGGGCCTTCGGCGGGAGGGTTAGACTTCTTGAGGCCGCGGTAACAGGAGGAGTGACGTGGCACAAGTGGAGCAGGACGGGAGAGGGAGAGGAGGCGAGGGGGAGCGAAGGAGAGCGCCGAGTCGTCCAGGTCGCTTGTGGGTAGGCGGTCGGCGACCGGACCTCCTCTCCCGCCCTCCGCCCTCCACGCCTGCTCCACGTGAGTGCTTCTCTGCTGCCCTCCCTCCGAAGGCGTGCTGGGTCTGCCGCGCCCCCCCCCTCCGCCTCTCCGCGCATTGCTCTGCGAGCACGGGGTGGGTCCGATTTGTTGTCCTGGCTGCGTTTTCCATCCGGACGTTCTTGGTCCTTCCAGGAGGCTGCGTTCCCGCTGCAGCGCTGCCCTCCATTTGGGATCCCGGCTTTGCTCCCGTCGTTCTGAATGCCGCTCCAGCCCCAGCGCGGACCACTCTTCTGAATCTGAGTCTTTCCTCATCGTTAGCTCCCTGCTCGTTTCCCTCCTCCGCCGTCCCCTGGTTCACATCCTTCTCCGCCTCTTCCAGCTCCTGCTCTTGCTGCTGTTGTTACTCCTCGACCTCCTCATTCCTCATCCGCCTCCTCTTCCTCCGGCTCATCCTCCATATTATCCGCTTTTTCTTCCAATATATGCACAGGTTATTGATCTGTTGGCGCATTATGAGATGGTGTCTTTTTGAGGGTTCCAGGTCCGCTATGGCACCCGTGCGCGTGTAGAAAAACGATCAGCGCCATGGGACGGGTTTTGTGAAAGGGGAAGGACGTCAGATATGGCGCGAGCGCACCTAGCCTACCCTCATACCTCTCTGTTGCACCGTCCATCTCTCCTCGCTCTCCCTTGCTCGCTCTCCCCTCCCTGCTGCGCAGGATGAGATTCAGGGGCAGGAGGAGAAGGAGGATGAAGACGAGAAGGTGGAGGAGACCCACCAGGAGTTGAAGGCTGAGCATGAGGATTAAGGGTGCACTGATGATGCTGATGATGACGACGAGGAGGAGAAAGAGGAGGAGGAAGACGACGAGGCGGAGAAGCGCCCGACGACGACGCTGATGATGGTGATGTGATGTCGGTGATGACGATAATGCTTATGATGGCGATGATGATGGTGGTGTTGTTGATGACGATGGCGATGAAGATGCCGATGATAGTTGTGATAGTGATGATGCTGGTGGCGGTAATGGTGCTGATGGAGGCGACGACTTCAACGACGACAACGGCGATGACAATGGTGATGTTTCTGCTGAAGATGGTGATGCTGATGATGTTGACGATGAACGATTATGATGATGATAATGATGCTGATGATGCTGATGCTGCTGATGATGATGCTGATGATGATGATGATGAGTTTGATGCTGGTGATGCTGGTGATCCTGGTGTGGATGCTCCCATTGCGTCCTGCTCCTCCCTCCTTCTCCCCTCCCTCCTCCACGAAGGACCCAGAGACAAGCCTGCAGCTGCTCCCCCTATCTCGTACTGCTCCCTCCTTTCCCCACTTCTCCCCCTCACATCTCCTCCTTCTCCCCCTCCTCTGCTCTCTCTCATGTACGCTGGTCTCCTCTCCCTCTCTCACCCCTCCTCCTTCCTCCTCATTCCGGCTCGTTGAGCCCACAGGGTGCGCAGGGCACGCAAAACCAATAGGGTAGACATGGCGCTTGGGGCCCATTGAGCATAGTGTTTATAGAGCTCTTAGGGCCCATGAAGTCAATAGGGCTTACAGGGCTCTATCGGATTTTAGGCCTCATACGGCTGGCATGGCTCATGGCTCCCATACCCCCCGTGGCTCATATGGCCCATGAGTCTCATAGGACCCATAATCTCCATATTTTTCATGATGATGGTGGTGATGCTGATGATGCTGTAAGAATTGGACAGATTTTTTGTGGGGCCGCCCAAGAAGCATCCTATAAGAATACTCAGCGAGACGTTCTTAGGGAATAGCGCGTCTCACCGACGTGCGGTCGCCTCTAATTGGCCGGTGCCTTCTGGGGCTCCCCGATGGGCAACTTTTCCGTGAGATGTCCGCAGCGATTTGGGCTCAACGCCCAAAGGATTCCAGGTCAATCTGTCAGTTGTCTGCTGTACACACCCTTGCGCCGGATGTTCAGCATGAAGCGTTTGCTCTGTGCACGCATCTTGGCTGGTGCAATATTCTTGCGACAACTCCTCTGTGCCGCTGCGGTTCGCGATTCTGGTTACAAGGACCGTTGTGCCCCGTTGCTCTTTCCTCATGGATTGCTCATCTCCGGGATTCCTTCTCGTCCCTCCTGACCCTCTCTTTGCAAGGAGCTCTCAGACACACTCTCCACGGTACCGGAGGAGATCGGATGCACCCCGTCCGAGTCCACAGAGTGGTTCAACAAGTTGCTCGGGCGGGATTGGAGGGAAGGGAGAGGTCGGAGGGGGGACCAGAAATGACAGTTGAGTGTTGGGGTGTCGATGGAAGAGGAGGGATGGATGTACATTTGTTTTTGAGCGGAGGGGGGGAAGGAGAAGGATGGATGGAGGGGCCTCTGGCCATACGTGGACGACATGGTCCAGAACATCCTTGCTGACAGGGTAGTTCCAGCAATCCAGGAGGCAATTCCGCACGAGGGCTTTTTCAACATACAGAAAATGCTGGACTTCAAGTTTGAGCAGTCATACCTCGGCACCCGCCCTCCTCGCCTCAGCAACTTCGTAATGTGTACCGCGAATGATGGTGTGAAGCTCACAGCGGATATGGAATTCAAGTCTGACATTGATTTTGCGGTGAAAACTTCGTTGCTTTCACTTGGTCTGCATGATCTTAGCATCAGTGGCAAGGTTGTGGTTCATTTCGGCCAATTCATCACTGAGGTACCTCTTGTCGGTGGAGTGACCGTCCACTTTGTCGACCCCCCACAGATCGATTGGGACTTGACAGGCGCAGGGGATTGGCCCTGGGTGGATGGCATCGTCCGCAGCGCGGTTGACTCTGCCATTGCTGGACTCGCTGTGATGCCGAATTTGATAGTTGTACCGCTTGGCCGGGAAGATCAAGGAGTGGACTTGTCTGCATTGAAGTCACCACCACCTCTGGGCTTGCTGCAGGTAGCACCGGTGCAGGCAGCAAACCTCAGGATGTCAGACGTCAGTCTGGGATTGGGCTTGCTCAATAAAGCCCCAGATCCTTTTGTTACCTTGAAGGTGGGAGATCAGAAATGGAAGTCCAGCAGGAACGACAATAATGCAAATCCAACTTGGAAGGGCGAGGGTGCTCTCTTTACAATTTGGGGCCGTGACCAGTCCTTGGTGGCGGAGGTGTTCGACCACGACCACCTTACAGGGCATGATTTTCTTGGACTCACGACTGTTGCCGTGAAGGAGGCCTTGGCTCATCCAGGCGCGGCCTATCCGCTTTCATCGCGAAAGGGGCAAGGCACAGGCTCCTCGCTGGAATTGGCCTACCAATGGCTTTGTATAATGCCAGGCAAGCCTTCCCTGACGCGGCCATCTGTCCTGAGGCTTGAGGTCGACAAGCTTGTGTTTCCCGCCGGTCAGAACCACCCTGTTCAAGTGGTTCTGACAGCTGCATCTGCAGTTTCGCCACACGGGGAGAGGAAGACGACGACGGCGTTTTACAGCGACATCCAGAGATCTCTCAAGGTTACCCCAGTCGGTGCCAAACTCATGGAACTTCTGAGGATGGACAAGGTTTCTAAGGAAGATGTCATGTACGCCACGGGCTTGGATGAGGCGGCGGTCGACGAGGCCGTGAGCACCATGAACGCTAATGAAGGCACCCTCGCCCCTCTTGTTTCATCTTCTGCTGCCATTTTCGTGCTCGGATGGGGCATCAGCAGTGTGATGCCCCTTCGTTGTTTTGTGTTCCCCTGATTTCTCTGGCCAATGTTCCATTGCCTGCTCGCCGTGGAATCACATAGTGGCTCACTCGAGCTGACAGGATTTCGTGCTGGCATGCCCTCCAAAGGACTGCTGCAGGAAGCGTGGCATCTCAAGCAATGCTCTGCCACATTCAGCTGTAGCTGCTATCCGCACCACCTACAGGTGTGGTCGCTATCCGGATGTTTCGGAAGTTCCTACTTGCATCGAGGCCGATGCGTCATCGCGTCCAGCGAGCTGGTTCAGATCCATGCGGAACTGTCTGACGCTGGCAACTGGCAGGCTCGAGGCTAGCAACATCAATGGTCGTGCTGCTGACAATGTCCAGGCTTGCGTTGCACAGCTCGTGACCCTGGGGGTGCCTCGCCTTCTCGGCTTCGTTTATGCCCACCACTCTTCGACGCCACTGCTGACAACCCGGTATCTCACGTCACTGTTCTGGCGGGCCCTGCGGCCCCGACCGTCGCAGAGCACAGTCTGAGGCCTACCTCGTGGCGCTCAAGAGCACTGCCCAGATGGAGCCTGCTGGTGTCGAGTTGCTGTCTGGCCACTACAAGACTTTGGCCCGCACCCTTGAGCGCGTACCCTCGAGGCACACAGCAATCTGGACTCCGGCAACATGGGCTAGGGCGTTACAGTCGTGGATGGCGCCTTAGCTGACCGCGCCACGCTGAGTGAGCAGACTGAGGCCCGTGATGAGCAGAGGGTCTGTGCCGCCGTCGTGAGCTGTGTGGGCCGTGGGACTGTTCGGGTGGCCAGTGCGAGCTTCGCTGAAGCCGATCGCACGCTGGTGCAGATGGACACGGTGAAGATTGCGGTCGGCTCCCAGGGTCGTTTTTCCTGAGGACGTGGGTTAGCCCACTGTTTGTTTACCCTGTCCAGCTCCTCCTAGCCTGCGTCACATTGAAGGGTTTCGATTCGATGGGCATGTTAGCACGTTCTGAGAATCATCGAGAGGGGACTCCGTCGCCGTCGACGCGCGCCTGAAAGCCGGAGGGGCAGAGCTGAGTCCCGTAATCTGTTGGCGCTACGTCGCAAGTTTACCGACTTCGCGCCAGCCTCTGCCAGTTGGCTGTATTCGCAGACGGCAGGATGCAAGGGACGCAACCTCCACGGCAAGGGCATTCACTCGATTTGCAGGAAGTTTTTGCGAGCAGCCTCGTTGCCCACAGGCGCAGCCGCCATCCAGACTTTGACGCTGCTGAGCCCCTGGGGGAACAGGGTCAACGTGCATGGCGTGCATGGCGTGCTTGGCGTGAACCAGACGTTGCCGTACTTGTACAAGCTGCGCGGACAGCATCTATAGCGAGTTGCGTCGGTGCTGGGTCCATCATTTAGCGGTCACCGATGCTGAGATGGCGTGCGACCGTTGCGATCGCGACGTTCCCGCTTCCAGTGCCCACTCTCGAGTTAAGGCGACTCGCCGTCTTGCTTCTCAGAGCGGGGTGTCCTCAGGAGTAGGCGTTGCGCCGCATCGCCAGCGAACCGCGGGGCGCGGGCCTGGACATGTCTTACGACCTTGCGCTACTCCCCCTCCTCCTCCGCCTCCTCCTCCTCCAAGGCAGAGCGAGCCGCGGGGAGATCGACATTCACTCCACCCTGTACATGCCCTTCTTCCCCGACGCCATCAACGTGAGACCGTCGGGAGGTGCCTGCCTTCCATCGCTGCGCCCACCGATCTACCGTCCCACCCCCAATGACCCCCCTCCCGCCTGCGTCCCCCTCCTTGCCTCCCCCGCCAACCTCCGCGTCCCTTCTCTCTCGGTCCCCTATTCATCCCGCGCCCTGTTCCCTCTCATCCCTCTTCCCCCTCTTAGCCCCTCTCCGCCCCCTCAACAATCCAACCCACCACGTCACTCCTCTCCTCGTCCCCCAGGCACCCTCCCTGCCCTCCTCATCCTCCAATTCTTACTCCGTCCCCCTCCTGCCAGTGAGTAAGACTCTCTTACCGCATTGTCCCCTCAGCGGGGCACTTTTTGAATTTGGACCTATCATTATTACTCTTTTCGTTCTGGCTATTTTTGTTATGCTCACTCTTGGTAATTTCAAGGTTCGCAGTTTCGCTATCATCTGTCTGATTAGTGTTGTTATTATCCTACGCCCTCGTCCCCCGCTAGCGAGGAGGTGGGCGATGGGAGGGCGGGGGGAGGGGACTGAACCTACGTGCGTTCCGTGCGTGAGACCCAGGTTCCCGATGCCGTATCTTGCCACAGCACGGACCCACGGAGGTCTGGACCCCTTCGCCAGCGCCGGATTTCCATATCGGGTCGCTTCCTCGTCAGCCACAACATCACGAGGGGGGAGGCAGCCGCTGATTTCCACGACGGCTGGTTTCGCCTGCGACTGGCTTCGCCCGGCTGGTTTTGCCGACGGCTGCTTCGCCGAAGTTGGCTCCACCGGGCTGGTTTCGCCGACCGCTCGCGTGCCGGCAGGCCCAGCCGTCCGCTTGCGTGCCCCGCCCGCCCGGCCCACCCGTGGTGGTCCCGCCTGCGCGACCCTCCCGTGAGGGTCCCACCCGCGCGACCTCACGTGAACGTCATGGCTCCTCCTCCCCCTCCTCCTCCCCCTCCTCCTCCCCCTCCCCCTCCTCCTCCTCCTCCTCCTCCTCCTCCTCCTCCTCCTCCTCCTCCTCCTCCTCCAATCGATCAGGTTCGTGCTGGGGAGGCGAACGTGGCCCCTCCTTCGGTCGCCCCCCCCCGACGTCCCTGAGGGGGCGACAGAGGTTTCGCTGTCCAAGTTTCTGGTGGGGGCGCCTGTAGGCACGCAGCCGTGGAAGGTTGGGGGCCACTGCCTCCTGGAGTTTCCCGGAGTGGGTGAGGGCCACCCACCGCTCCTCGCTCCTCTTTTGTTCGACCCGCGGCGGCTACGCGACTGTGGCCACTGTACCCGGGGGCCTTCAGGAGTGTTGCCAAGGCTTGGGTCACTCCTTGATCGGCTCTGGCAAAAAGAACACGTCGAGCTTTTCGGAGCTCAAGCACCCGAATCGGGCGCGACAGTTGGGACCCCCGAGATCTCCCGGGGCCCACGCGCGGGAGCTTTTCGGTTCCAGGTTCCTGGTCGGGGGGGCGGTCTCTCAGCCCCCGATCAGGTCCTCGAGAGGTCTTCAGTTTTCGGATGCAGCCACTCTCTGTATGGCGGACTGCCTCCAGGCTTTCGGCTTGAACGAAGAAGAGGCCCGTGAGCTCGGTCGGGAGTTCCGAGTCCGCCCTCCAGCTTCTGCCGAGCTCGACGTGGATGTTCCCTAAGGGGGCCCTGTCGCTGGCCCACGGCGTGGCCCGTTCACGGCCGCGTCGTGGTGACAAAAAGGTCCTCTCCGATGGGCCCCCTTAGGGTTGTTGGACCCGTCGGATCCCTCTCTCTCTCTCTCTCCCTTCAGGGGCGTGCTCGGTCCTGGTGTCCCAAACTTAGTGCGCCTCGCTTTTGCAATCGTGGTTGAGCGATGACAAATCGGGGCTCCCACCCGAGGGGGTGGCCGTTCTCGAATCGTCCCCGCAAAGAGGCACGCACGGTAGGTCGCAATCTCTCGAGTTGCTCTCGGAAGATTGATTTAAGTCGAATTTTATCGACCTTCGGCCCGACACCGCTCCGCCGCCGCGCCTCCTCCTCCTCCTCCCCCTCCTCCTCCTCCTCCTCCTCCTCCTCCTCCTCCTCCTCCTCCTCCTCTGCCCTCCGTCTGCTAGTGTCCCCCTCCCCCCGACCCGCCCGTCGGCGAAGCCAGCCTTGGCGAAACCAGCCGTCGGCGAAATAATATGCTCTGGCAAAAAACGGCCGGCGCCGAAGCCGGCCCTGGCGAAGCCAGTCCATGCCGGCGAAGCCAGCCCGGGGGGGAGAGGCTCAGGCCCAGAGATCCTGCGTATTGAAAAAATCAAGACGGAGGTTTTTCTAAATTTTCGGCCTCTAGGGGCCCTCGCCAGGCCCCGGGACCGTCAGAAAACGACTCAGGATGGAAAACCGGTCCTAGGCAATGGGTCGAGACCTCGGGGGACCGCGCATGGAAAAAATCACGACATCGGATCTCAGGGGGGTGGAGCGCATCGAGCCCCAATCGCCCATGCGCCACGCGTCGCCGACAGGTGCCTGGTAGCCCTTGCCCGCTCAGGAACGTGCGGGTTCGCTATAGGGAGCCCGTCGCCGGTCCATCGGCGAGGTACCGTCGGTTTGAGCTCGATGTTCCCCCCGGACGGTTCCCCGAATCGTGGGACCTGGTAAGGGTCCCCAGAGGGTGAACAGTGCATCCAGACAAGCAATCGCATCAAAAGAGAGCAGAGTTCTGTCCGTGCTTTTTCACGGCGCGATGGGGTCTGGGGAGGTGCCAGCGGCGAAGAAGGTGGCGTGACGCTCGAGGTAAAGACCAAGAAGGCCTCGCTGGGGTCCATCCGCGTCGAACTCGGCGCGGTGCCGGAGGTGCAGACTGGCGCGATCGAGTTCGGGTGGGTGCCGCAGTACACCAAGACGGTGCTGAAGATCAACGAGGGATCTGCCCACGAGGTGATTCTGCACGTTAGCGCCCCAGTAGACCCTCAGATCGGTGCGTCGCAACAAATTACGTGTCGTCCGGTGTTTGTGCGTTGTCTGTCTCTGGAGGCCGTCTCCCAGCACTGAGGCCGTGACAAAAACTTCTCAGGGTGAAAAGCTGGCCTCAGGGAAGGAGTCGGGATCCCCCGGGCCCCACGTCAATGGATCAGGGGATTCTGCTACGCCCGTCAGGGCTATCTCAGCCCGCCGGTCGACCTACGACGGCTCGATCTCTTCGAGCCTACCTGTGGCCACCTGATCTCTCGACCCCGCCAGGCGGGCGCCTCATCCTGAGCCGTGTGCAGAGCGTCCCGGGGCAAGGAAGCGGCCTCCATCGCGGGCAGGAAACATGGCCATGGCCGCCGCAGCTCGGACTCCTCGGCTGCGGCTGCGTGGATGCGGATGGCTTCGTTGCGCGGATGCCCCGCGCGGAGCACATCCGTCGTCGGATCGTGAATCCATGAAGCCGCGCCCAGAAGTCTGGACTGCGAGGGCGCAGGTGTTCGTGTGATCGCCACTCGTGGCTTCAGGCGCCGGAATCTGCGAAAGACCTCTGATGACGGATGCCTCAGGAGGAGGAGCCGGAGCAGGACCAGGATGCGAAGAACATGGCGAGGACGGGGGCCAGGGTGGTAAGTGTTGCCTATGTCCCTCCCTGATCCTTACCCCTGCGAGCCCAGAGCGCCCCACGTTTTCCGCATCCAACGCGCTGTCCGAGCAAGTCCTTTCTCTAGCGAGGCCGGGGCCATGCCAGTGGGGACGGGGGTCGATTGATCGATGCTCAAAAGTCTTGGCGCGGGGGGCTCCCAAGGTCAGCATGAACATGCTGGCCACCGAGGCGGGCGGCTGCGGCAAGCCGTGAGCGGCCCGCAGCTGGTGCTCTTTTGCTCCCGCGCGCCCCGCCTCCCGTAGCGCTGTGGAAGGACCGCTGGCGGGGTGGTCGTCGTTTGAAAACACGTCGGAGTTTCTGGCCGTAGTGATGCCTGCCAGGCTGGTCCCTTGGTTGCGATGCGTACACGCAGCACAATCGCAGCGATAGAGAGACGGGCGCGGCGGGAGGGTCAGGTGGTGGTGGCTCCCGAGGATACTGCAGGGGAAGGCCGAGCTCTCCAAGGACCGCACCCGCCGACGGTGGTGGTGAGGGTTAAGGAAAAGAGAAGGAAGAGGAGGAGGAGGACCTGAGTAAGCCCAAGATGTATCAACGACGTTGCAATGCACACTCCCGCCCCATGTTCCCCCATCCTGAGTCATTACACGCATTCCTATGGGCATTACATCCGGGCGAGTGCCCCATTTTGAGAAGGAGCTCGTTGCACCCTTTTGTCGAGCTATGAGGGTTGCAACAGCCTAGGGTCAGACAGTTCGACGGGGTGCCTAACGAGAGCCCCGTGTTGGAAAGGAACTGCCCCCCATCCGTGCAACGCTTGGCAAGTTTGCATTTCTGGATGCTGGGTCAGAGGGAGTTCCACGCGTCAGCCCCATGTTGAAACGGAACGGGTGATCATCCATGCAGTTGTTATGAACTCTTTCATTCGGTTCGTGTTTCCACTGGCCTGGCTCTTTGCGATAACAGCCTCGCACCAGCATGTATGAGACGCGACATGTCGATTTTAGGCCCGTTGCACAACATTGTAAACAGAACGGCTTCCCGTGTTCTCAGCGCCTTTTGTCCCAGACATGGCGGGCAACCTTGAAATTCTAGGCTTCAGTAGAGGATGCAACATGCACAGCATGGGCCGTCAGTGACACAGTCGAGCCAGGCATGCATCCCTTGATGCAGAGGTCGAGTTTCGGCCTGATGTGCGTTTTGGGGCATATTCCACAGCGGGGACTGTGGCCCTCTCCGAAACAGAACCAGAGACAGGTACGTACAGGCCACAGCGCTCGGCACAATCCGCGGTCCGCAGGTGCCACTCGGGCAAGCACGGTCTGAGGGCTCGTCGTGCAGATGTGGGCGGGAGGTGCCCCCGACGTTTCCCCTTCTCAGAGCCCCTCTGCCTCCGACGCCTTGCTTCCGTGCGGCGCATGCCCCGCAGAGCCCCACGCCTTCGAGTGATGACCGCGGTCGAGCCCACTGCGAGGCCGAGGATCGATCCCCGCTTCCTTCTCCCCCGTCCCCCTCCCTCCCTCTCCCTCTTCCGGGCTGACGCGGACCAAGAAAGACAAAGGCACATGATACGACGATGTGGATATTTGCATACCCTGTAACGCCCCCCGCGGGGTAGAAACCAACTTGATCACAATCATTCTCTGGAACGTCGTCGTGACGCTTGTCGCTAGCCTTACCGCAGTGTCATCATCATCATGTTTGTTTCTTCCGCTGCGCATGGTGTCTCTTATTGCCGTGTTATTTCTGAGTGTGTATCTCCGTCCTGGCCCTCGGCGTTCTTAAAATGTTTATCCTGGCCCTGTTTGATGCTCCCATTTGGTTTCTGTTTGTCCTCACCCTCCTCCTCCTCCTCCTCGTTCTCGTCATTTTTCTTCTCCATCTGCTCCTCCTCCTCCCCCATCGTCCTCCTCCTCCTCCTCCTCCTCCTCCTCCTCCTCCTCCTCCTCCTCCTCCTCCTCCTCCCCCTCCCCCTCCTCCTCCTCCTCCTCCTCCTCCTCCTCCTCCTCCTCCTGCTCCTCCTCTCCGTCATCATCGTCATCACCATCATCATCAGTCTCCTGCACATCCTCCGCCGACTTCCCGTCTCTTTTTCCCTCCCTCCCTTCCTGCTCTTCCTCCTCCTCGTGGGGCCTTGAGGGACCTCGCGGGGCATCCTGGGACCTCCTGGAACGTCCTGGAGCCTCCTTGAGATTCCCACGGCCCCCGGGTGCGTCCTCAAGTCTCCTGGAGCTTCCTGATGCCTCCTGAGGTTTCCTGGGGCCTCTGGGCAGCTTTCTGAGGCCTCCTGGGGCCTCCTGATGCATGAAAATTAGCCTCAGGAGGCATCAGGAGGCCTCCTGAGGCCTCGTCGGGCCTCCTGAGGCTTCCTGGGGCCTCCTGAGGCTTCCTGGGGCTTCAAAATTGGCGACAGTTTCAATGATGGGAGCTTCCCGTTGAGAAAGAGGGCGCGGCGGACGTTGAAAAAATGACGACAGTGTCACACTTGAGGCCCAAAACCGTCCCGGGCACACCCCGGGGCGAATCCCGGCCCCGCATAGTACTGTGCGATTTGCCCCCTCACCGCTGTCCCGCCGGTCCTCGGGAGGGCTAGTTTTTTTGTTTTCGCCGGTAAGGAACATTTCCCCCCCTCTCGGCGGTGACGGAGGGCAGGCGGCGAGGGGGGGCGGGTTTGCAGTCAGCTGGTTGGGCACGGAGAGCAGGCGGAGGGGATCGGCGGGTTGGCGGGGTGACGGGGTGGGCGGCTGGGCTGGTTGGCTGACGGGCTGGGTGGCTGGGTGGGCTGGCTGGCTGGTTGGACGGGTTGGCAGGTTGAGCTGGCTAAGGTAATTGGTTTCGATTTGTTCCTGCGTTCTCTGAACTCTTTGCATTTCGGGAGTGCCGTCAGTATTGCGTGCTGGGCTCACTCTGGTCCTCCTCCCTCTCTTGATCATCCCCTCCTTCTGCCTCAAGATCGAGCCCCCTGTCTCCCTACAAGAGTAATCTCCCCCTTCCCCATCCAGGCACACCCAGATTCTCGATATCCTCCTCCTCGTCCTCCTCCTCCTCCTCGTCCTCCCCCCTTCTCCTCCTCGCGAGTCCGTTCTGGCACCGACGCTGTGACGCGTGCAGTTGCCTCCCGCCCCCCGTCCAGGGTTTTCGCTTCGGGCCTGGTTGGCAGGGGGAGACGGTACGCTCTCGGCAGCCGAAGTTTTGAAACAGGCGGTGATTCTGCGGGAAACGGATCCTCGATCTCCGGCTTCTCGCCCTCCCGGCCGCGCGATCGGCTGGGACCTGGCCCGTGCCCGTGGCAGCGTGCTGCACAGTCCTCCGAGAGCGCCCGACCCCCTCTTCCCCGCGTGTGCCACGATGAAAACGAGGACGAGAACGACGATTTGTTTGGGCCATCGGCGGGACGAATTGTGTACACATGAATTGCGTCTTGGACTTCCGTGGAAGGGGCGCCACGAGGCCGAGGCGCAGTGGATGTTGATAAAAATCCAACCTCCAGGGGTCACATTGTCTGCCATATCCACTGCACCTCTGGTTTCTGTCGAAGGAGGGCCGAAACTCCGAGACGCATTGGAGATGGATACGAGTCTGACCCGCAATAACATTAGTTCTGTCCTAGTTGTGGATGCTTCAGTGAGGCGGCTTCTGGCGCGCCCAGTTGTTCAAAACGTAGGGTGCTCATCCTTCGGAGATGGGAGATGGGGGAGGGGCTCCCCCGAGTTCAGGTCAGCTCAGCGCAGGAAGGACGACGAAGACGATGACGAGGGTCGCTGAGAGCGCTCCGTGCACCAAGTTTGAGCGGATCTCGGTCGCAAGACGAGGACGTCGAGGTCGACGACGACGTCGATGACAGTTACGCCGACGACGCGGACGACGACGACGAGCACGAAGACGAGGAAGACGACGAGGAGGACGACGGCGACGACCTAGGATGCAACCCCTGCAAGGTTGAATTCAGATTTGGCGTATGTATGTCCGCAGTCGAAAAGCAGCCTGGTCCGGCCAATCACCAATTCCATGTTGCTGAATCCCGCTGAATCTGGCTCCGTCGGCTCTACTCCTGGGCCTAATCCGGCCCAAGCCAGGTCAGTGACCCCTCAGTCGGGCTTAACAGTCCTCAGTGTCAGGGGAGGCCGGAGTAATCCCAAAAGCAGACGTCACCAAAAGGTTTGGCTTCGGGGCGCACCGTGGCTGGAGGCGTGCCCGCTGCGGCACCTCACTGGGGGCACGTGGGGCCCTTCCAGTAAGAGTCGTTCCCACCGAGACCTCCTGGGAGTTGCCTCCTAAGAAGACGACGGTTACGCCGATGAGGGTGACTACGACTCACGAGAGGCGGCCGTATCCATGTGCACGCCCCTGCGGTCTGGACTCTGGGAGGCGATCCCGTGGACACGCTGTCGCATGGATGCGTTTCGCGTCGAGGTTTCGTAGAACGCGGCCCTGGGGCCCGGCCCGTGAGACCGTGGTTAGGGATATCCCACCACGAGACGACGACGAGGGCGACGACCACGAGGACGACGGACGACGCCGACCTGCCCTCCGCCAGCAGCCCGGCGCAGGAACAGCAGTACGCCACGGAACCGCGTCCCGTTTTTTTTTTTTTTGAGAAAGAGGAGGAGGAGGCCGCAGGAGGAGGAGTCAAAGGAAGGCAGAGGGAGGGTCTCTGTGTTTTGTTTCTTGGGCGGGTCGGAAGAGGGAGGAAACATAGGATGAGTCCAGATTCATCTGTGCAAGCTCCGCTGGCAGCTCGCTTCCACCGCCGGTGCACCACGGCCTGAAGCAATTATGCGCCACCGGGGGTTGGCTAAGCACCCAGGAGGGACCGCGCAGGTTGCGTATGCCCATCGCTCGACTGTCTGAGAGCAAGGAATGGCTCCCATGGGATACTTCACCGAGCAGGACGAGTTGGAGAGCAACACGACAACGGAAGAGGCGGTCAGAAAACAGCTGGATGACACCACGTCGGCGGAGTAGGAGGCGGAGGCCGCCCCCGCAGGTGCAGCCTAAAATTTGGGTGCGGCCGTCGCGGCGGCGGACAATCGTCGACCTAGAGGTTGACACCAACACCAATAGAGGCGGTGTGCCTCCACCGAGGAATGATGAACCCCCGATCTCGGTCATGTTGATAGTATTCGGGCTTCTAGGTGGCCGAAAGCTCACCACCAACACCACAGTCTGGGACCGGCTTCCCCTGGTGGAGGCAACCCCCTGTGCTGGTTTTAGCGCTCACTCCCTTCTTCCCAGAGAAGGCCATCGTAGTCGTGCAGGAAGTAGTGAAGGTTGCCCACGCCGCGGCGGTTGCGCGACGCGGCGGAGTCGAAGCTGCCCGAGAGCGGCATCACCCCAGAGACCCCACTGGCCTTGGCGAAGACTCCAGTGGAGGAGGTGGCAGCGCTGAAGAAGCGAGGGCGGGCTGTGGGGGTGCCAGGGCGTGCCGTCGATGGGCGCAGGCAGCTGCAACACGTGGAGGCAGTGTGGAGGTTGCGGCCCTGGTTGGACTCATCTGAGTGGGTTCCCTCGGTTTTGTAGACCGATCGAGGCAGTGGGCCTCTCCTGTAGAACTCCGGAGTTGCAGAGCCGACTTCGGTTAGGCTGCTTGTCACACACGCCCCTGCGAGGCCCCTGGGAGGCTTCGCCGGGCGAGGAAGAAGCCTCTTGGCATGGGGTAGGGAGAACGAAGTTCTCATCGAGGGTTCAAGTGAGGGATCGGAAGAGGAAGCGTTCTGAAGAATCTACGTGTCGGGAGCTGGAAGCATTACTACGCATATGCCGTCGTTGGTATCCGTCAGAGGGCAGGTGCCTCCAGCTTTTGGCATGGTAGTCAGGCGTGTTGAAATTGCACTGCTAGTGGCAATGTATGTCACCGCTCATGTTGTTGCTTCACATCGAGACATTATCGCAGCCTTGTTGTCATCGTGGTGACGCGTTGGTTTCATGTTACTGGTATACCCGCTTCGAGTGGCATTGCGTGGTCATATCCATGCTTCAAGCTGGCGGCCTAGACTTGCAGCGCCTTGCCACTGGCCCGAGTCATCCAGGCTTCCTCTCGTCATGGCGCGATGACCTCGAGACACCTGTTGAAGCTGCACGGCTCAGCTCACGCCCTTGTCGAGTCCGGTTCTGCTGGCTCCCTCCGGCTCCTCCTCCCGGGGGGCCCGCGTGCACGGGCACCTCCCAGGCCCGAGAGCCCCAGCCGTACAGCCTGCACACGCCGCGCTCCGACCTCTACGGGACGCCCCGGCTCGAACGGTACGGGACGCCCCGGCTCGACCCCTACGGGACGCCCAGGCCCCGCGCCGAGGCAGGGGGAGGAGTCGGGGGCGTCCCAGAGGGGGGCGATGACGGGGTGGGGGCATCATGGCTGAGGCCATGAGATCTCTCCGGATGTTAAGGCCCCCTCTTCTCATCATTATGATTATAATCGTATTCCTGCTCCTCTCCTTGTTATTAACATGTTTCGTTGTTTTTTGTTTTTCCGGGCGTAGCCGGAATCTGTCTCTCGCGTTTTAAACTGAACTGAACTGAACAGACTGGTCTGGTCGCACCCGTTACACGACGGTTTTATTCTCGGCGGCCCAGGGCGCAACTTATTGCAAAACCGATCGGAGTCGGTTTTATTCTCGGCCGCCGAGGGTGCAACATACGGCACAACTGATAGGTGACGGTTTTATTCTCAGCCGCCGAGGGCGCAACCTATTTCGCAACCGATGAGAGACGGGCTGCTGGAGCAGGAGGAAGACGAAGAAGACGAGAAGGATGAGGATAAGGACGAGGAGGAGGACGACGACGACGATCAGGATTGGGAGTAGGACGGGGAGGAGGACGAGTAGTACGAGGACGAAGTGTGGGCATTCGAGTGCGTGCGGCGCTACGCCCGATTTATGCTCACCGCTTGGGCTGGCGGTGGGGGCCAAGCGGCGAGCTGTCTCGTGATTCTCTAAACCCGCTCCCGAGTCCCCACCTTGGGCAGCGCACATGCCTCCGGCCATGATTGGCGATCCCGGTTATCACCCCTGTTGGACGCCCCCCAGCCGAGACAAGGTGTGAGGACCGAGGATCGAGGATCGAGGACAGTTTACCGACGGCGCGGCGACGGGGGAAGTGAGAGGCTGTAGGCATCATCAGAAGGCAGCGGGGCTTCTCGGAGGCCTCCTGGTGGTGCTTTGTGAAAGGGTCTGCGTGGATGCGGAAAAGGCTCGGGAACCTTTTCGGGAGGCTTGAGGCCTCCTGAGCCATTCTGTCGTGGTCGGCCGAGAGGCGTGATGACGAGGTGGGTTGGGATCTCGTGGCCGGGGCCGTGAACTTCCCCGAATGTCATAGCCCCGCTTCTTATTTCAACACGTCCTCCGGCCGCAACCCGGCCAGGCACATGTCTCGGAAGACGATGTGCTCCCGCCCGCCCATCTTGGACTCCTTCCCCCTTGCACGCCCCCGAAGCCGGTGAGGATCGAAGCTCGAGAGTCGGAGATTCCTTGTCGGAGGCGCACCGAGATGGGAAGTCGGAGTGGCTCGGGTCTCCTCAGAATGCGGCGGGGCTTCTCGGCAGCCTTCCTTCTGAGAGGCACCCCGCGGCTTCGGAGAACACTCGGAGAGCTTCTCGGGATGCCAGAGGCCTTCGCCCCTCGTCCTCGTCGCCGAGGCGACGTCCCGGACCCTGCCCGGGCATCCCGAGGTGCCTTGCCTCGACGGCGGCCCCGGGCACTTCCTGGGCCCCGCTGGGTCTCAGGGCGCGGAGGGGGCTCCAAACGCCATAGGGGCCGCCCCGAGGGTGCGGGAACGGCGCACCTGTCTCGACTTGCTCGAGCCCGAAGAAGACGTCTTGCCTGTTTGCACTCGGGCTCCGGCAGTGATGCTCGAGGTGCAGCACAGACGCGCCCGATTCGGGGCCTTGGCTCGACCGGACCGCCTGCCTGCCTGCGTGCCTGCCCCATGCATGACAGGGGAAGGACTCGGCCAGGCCAGACGCGGTGAGGCTGAGCTCGGCCCATGGGCCGAATGCAGCTTCGCCGAGTTCGGTCTGGCCGAGATCAGCAGGCCGAGTCCAGTCTGGCCGAGTTCAACTGACCGAGCTCAGCCTGGCCGAGTTTTCTTCCCCGAGTTTAGTTGCTGGGTCCCCGCGCTTCAGGCTCAAGCTTCTTCCAATACGACGCGTCTCGCCCCTGGACGCCCGCGGCCACAGACTGCGACGCGTGAAGTGACGCCACGCATGGTCATGCAAGCGCAAGCGAGGGCGATCGCGGACCATTCGTGTCTTCCCGCTCGATCGCGCGCGCGCCGCCCCGCGCGAGCGCCGCCCCCCTCGGGGAGGCCACGCCCCCCCGAAGTGCCGACCCCCTTCCCGAGGGGTGGCCTCTCGTCCCAGAGGCACAGCGGTTGGCCCCCGGGTGCCCGAACCGGGGCCCCAGAGGCGGGCGGGTGGCCAAGGGGGGGGGGGGACCGAGGTGAGGGGCGAGGTGAAAAAGGGCCCCCTCGGGGGCCCCTCTCGGGCCCCTGCTGGCTCCCAGAGCGGCCCTGCAGGGCCCCATTGGGGGCTTTCTTGCTTCACCCCCCACGCGGGGCCGCCCCCCACTGCAGTCGCACCGAGGTGTGGGGTCAAAGTCGGCCCTGGGAGGTATACCTTGATATCCTTCGTGCCTGTCGGCTGTTCTCGTGCCTCCTGGGGCAGGGTGCCCTCGAAGGCTCTTCGGCTCGGCCGGCGGAGTGCCTCGTGCTCTTGATCGGCTGCACCACCCGCCCGCAACGGGCCCCAGAGGCGGAGGTCGGGGGGTAAGAGCGCTCGGCCCCGAGGCGCCGCGTCGTTGGAGAGGCCCGGGCACCTCGGAGGGAGGAGATGCGACGCCAGCACCGCCAGGGGGGCCCACCTCCAGCAGCGAGGAGGGCCACGATGCCTCCCCCCCGAGCTGGATGCCGGGGGTGTCTCGAGCGAGAGGGGGGGGCCACACCACCAGGGAGACTCCCCTTGCCTCCTCGCACCTCCTCGCCCTGCTGGTGTTGGTGTCGCCTTTCCCGTGTGCCCGGGCACCGCGCCCCCCCCCGAGGAGGTACTCCGGCCCGAGCCCGCGGAGCGGCAGCCCGAGCCCCCGGCCGGACCTGCTGATGCTGAGGGACGCGCCGCGGCCGGTCGTCTGAGGGCGGGGGCCGCGGCGAAGGGCGGGCCCGAGAGGGAGCTCGTCGGTCAGGAGGGGAAAGGAACACCCACAGACACAATGAATCGTCGACTCCCAGGAAAATATTGGAAAACATGGGAAGTGGGGGGGGCAGACGACAGAAACCCAGAGAATATGGGAAAATACGGGGGATCCTGTTATCTGTGTGTATTTATTTGTTTGTCCCAGGGCCCCTTCAGTCGGGCTGGGCGGAAGGGTTGGACAGGGATCGGGGCTCAAGAGACGGGGGTCAATGCAATCGGGGGTCAGCCAGGGCACAGGGTCCTGCAGGATCCCGCGAAGACCCCCTCTGGCCGACCCGGATTAGCGAGCCGCTCGTGGCCGCGAGGCGGGCGCGCATGTTGGCTGACCCGAGTTTGCGTAGACCTGCGTTGCAGTTTTTTTCTTCCTGCATTGCAGTTTGTTGGTTTCCTGCTGACCCGGGTCTAGATTGACCCGGGTCAGAAGATCCCCGAAGGGAGAGGGAGGGGGGCGTTTGGTGCGAAGTCTGCTGCCGCCTGGCCAATTCCTCGATGCGTGTGCGCCTCCTGGCGCCAGGAGGCGCCAGGAAAGCCAGCTGCGTGAGCGGATTCTCTACCCGGCCCTTTTCTTACCATCTCCGTTCGTCCCCGCCGATTTCGGTAGCAGATCATGGGAGCCTCGGTGTCCCCTCGCGGCTCCGTCGTTGGTGTGCACTGGCGTGCGCTCGCCTCGGGCAATCGATGAGAAAAAGGAGACCTCGCGTCGATTGAGCGTCGAGTGGGCGTCGATTCGCGTCGGCCAGCGTCGGTTCGCAAGAGCCAGCAAGATGACATGGGAGGCTCCCATGAGTTTCGGGTCGGGCGAAAGGGGGGGATTGGGAAAGGGGGGGTTACGAAATTTGCTGCATGCAGCTGGTTTCGGCCCCGCCGAGGGGCCCATTCCTCGATACATGGCCGCCTCCCGGCGCCGGGAGGCGCCGGGAAAATCAGCTACGTGAGCTGATTCTCAAACCCCCCCTTTGCCATCCCCCCCTTTCGCCCGACCCGTGAGTTGCCGCCGAAGGGGAGGGGGGGGGGGACGGGGAGAGGCAGCGGCCGGGATTCAGATGCCAGGCATACGCCGCACAGGGCGGCCCCCCGCGCTGCGGGGCCGAACGGTATGACGGGCCAGGCCCGCTGGGCCCCGCCGCGGGCCGGCGGGCCAACCAGGGCACCATGGTTCTACACCTTAGGCGATGCTTAAGAAAACTTACATTTTCGGCCAGAGTCTCGATTATTCTTAACGTTTCAATGTAATTCCTAAGATTTGAATAGAAATGTTGGATTAGATTTCAAGTTCTGAGACTATGAATTTCTTAACCCAGGATTTCTAAAGCATTTCGCAGGGTGTACCCGCCAGCCCGTCCGGGTTGGGTAGAGCCCCCGCTTTCCAGGCCTCGTGGGCGAGAGGACGAGGGAGGTGAGGAAGCAAGATGCGGTCGAGGAGGAATTTGGAGAGGTGGATGCTGTGATGATTTCTGGGAGGCAGGGCGAGGACGAGGGCGAGGTAAGCGGGGCACGGAGGCGCGAGTAGGAGGACGGGGAGGAGGAACAGGAGGAAGAGGAGTGGAGAGAGGGTGAGGATAGGGGATGAGGGGAAGACGGACGGCAGGCGAGAAAGGGTGAGGAAGAGCAAGTGTAACATCACCTCGCTCGAGAGCTGAGGCACGCAGCAGCTGCTTCAGATGTGAACCGTGGGGCCTCTCACTATAAGTGTGCAAGGCTATGGCCTGATGTCTGCATGGTACCGCCGCGCACCTTTGTCTCCTCTCTCTCCTTATTTTGTTATGCTTTTTCTCTCTTTCTGTCCATCCCATCCCATACGTCTGCCGTGTGCCGCCTCTGTATGCGTTTCTGTGCCGCCTGTTGCTCGTGCTGGCGCCCTTCTTGATCAGCAGGTACCTTCTTCGGCAGGCCAATGCGACCCGCACGCAGCGTCAGCAAGCGCGTTCGGGCCTGGAGCATTTCCAGTGGCCCCTCGGATGGCTTGATCGACTCGGCAGATCGCGTTGCCGCGCATGCATCCACCACGGCGCCTGGGGGCAGAGGGGCAGGGGCTGGGTGGGTGGCATCCCAGCCACTGTGCTCGTCTCTCTTGGTTTCCTCTTGAGACCTGGAGTGGAGACTGATGTCCACAGAAGCAGAGCAGCTCACTCGCGTTGGCCCAGAGTCGTCCTGGGAAGTTACGTCAGCAGGCAGGTATTGCCAGGAGTTTGTCCAAAGATTTACGCAACGAACAGATACGAAGAGATACGTAGCGAAGAGGTGCGACAGGTTAAACGCTAAAAACACGTGTTCGACCGTAGCCTCAAGCGCAACTTCCAACGCGGCACGTCGCGGTGGTCGATGGGCACATAGGACATGTGGACAAGTCTCTCGCAATCCTCCACCCGATCCGCGTCGTCCTTGTCGCCTCGTCGCCCTCCTCATTGTCATCATCCCTCGCCTTCTCCGGCTCATTGGACCTATCTCCCTTGCCCTGGTCTGCCCCCTATCCCCCATCCTTGCCCGTCTTTTCCTTCGCCCGCCCTAGGGGGCTCGAAGCAGTGTGCCGCTTCGGGAGCTGTCGTCGGTCTCTGGCCACGTTCAGAGGCTGCGACCGCCCCGTCCCCGACCATCTCCTGCCTGCTTCCCTTCACCCGTCCTCCCCATCCCAGCCTCCCCCTTGCCCTCAATTGGTACGCTTGACCCAAGACGTCTAAGAACGGATCTGCCGTCTGTTCTTCCTCTGACCTACTGCTGCTGTCTACATGCTGAACATATATATATTATGACTCTGGCCCTCCCGGCTTATACGAACCAAAGCCTCATTTCTCGTACGTAAAACAAAAAGCAGTGCGCAGCTACCGACCACGGTCTCGAAGGGACAGGCTAGGCATTGCTAAACCTAGGGTACCTAAAGTCGTCGCCGTTGAACTGTTCGACGAAACTGTGGATAATGAAGCCCTCGATCTCGGACTCCACCGGGTGTATTTTCTTTTTCTCACTTCGGAGATCGTAAGCTTTACCGAGTGTAGTTGGCTTCTTCTCTCATCGAATATCGTGAATTTCACCAGGTGTTAGTGATTTCCCCGCATATTGGATACCAGAATATTTACCAGGTGTAGTGCCCAATCCATCATAGATAGTACTTCACATACTGGTGGTGATTCTGCCCACGATGGTTTTATCTGAATGACGTCGTTCTCCGTTATCGTGACCGCTGGAACGTCACTTGTAGCAACCAAGCGTTCGTTGCCCTTGGTCTCCACACGCCAAGAACCGTATGTAAATAAGTCATACAGAATATCAGAAAGCATATTCTTGGTAAGTCCATATGCACCCATAGCTGACGTGGGACACCAGAAGAAACGTTTGATGTACCCTCGCAGTCTGTCCTCTTGAACTGATTACACATAGGGTCGCTGGTGTAGATATTGAGGAAAGATCATTTTTTTTCCAACCCTGAGCCCGAAGAAGTCCCGAGAATCTGTCCAACGACCTATAGACATTACGAACTTTGAGTTGTCCTGTGTATTGATCAACTCGTTCATGCTGCCCGGACTGTCCAAAGATCGTTGAATACCGTGTGAGATTATTTCCGTGAATCGCATAGTGATCATGTGCGCCAATTCTTTGCTAACTCCTCCTGCCAATGGCTCTGCTCGTGACGTGTTTCCTGAAACTCATTTTGCTTTGCGAGACAAAAAGGCAATGATATGAACAAGCTGGCTGAGCTGGCCTTTGGAATCTCGTACTTGTGGATGGTAAATCGATGTAGTCGGTACAACTGATATCTTCTTACCCGAGCCGAGAAGGATCAACATTGCTTCCTGAGCATATGAACTGCCTGAGGTAGCTCAACTCGAGCCTGCCACTGAGTCTATCACAAGCGGAGGTGTGAGACGTGGGAAACAGATAGTAATTCCATTTGCACATGCTTTCGCCCGAGCCAACAGCGTATTTGCCATCTTGATGTGCCTGATCGTTGCCGATTGCGCGTTCAGCTGGATAATCACTTCGCCTGCAGTAGCATCCAACCTCGCCTGACATAACCAGAACCATATTCCAAGAAGTCCTCTGAATGCTGTTAACTCTTGTCGGGTCAGTTGTGAATCGTCCTCCTGTGCTAGTTCCCTGCTGAGTGGAACTTGTTGCAACTTATGATAAAACTCATCCTGTGACACTGTCATGCCGAAGTCGGTCCTCTCGCGCTTGACTCCAACATGCATCATAGGCGGCGTCTGTCGCGTAGCGCCTGCAAAAAGTGTGTTTTTTTTTTTCAAAATATTCATTCATCCATGAAGCCGTTCTCGCATTGTTGTGCCCGCCCACATACGACGTAGCTATAGCCTTAAGTGTACCAGGTCCTGCCATCCAGAAATAGAAACAATCACAAACTATTGGGAGCTTGCCACCAAGTGCATCTGTCATGAACATCTGCATGACAACTTGAAAAGCCAACGGTGCGTCGTTCAATCCATACATTGCCTTCAAACGTTCGAGTGTCCACAACTGTGTAAGTCCTGACTGAACAACACGAACGGCCCCACCAATGTCACGAAGTTGTCTCCGAAGGTTACCAGGTGGTGTAACAAACACGTGCCGCTCTTGTGGCTTGATGCCGCGCTTCCTCAGTATGTCGTACATGCGCTTGAACTGTAACCCCTTCAGGAACGCTCCAGTGGCATCCCAACTTTCAATGGTAAAGTCGTGAATGGCCGCCAAAGAGACGACCAGTCGCTGCGATAGTCGCATTGTTGCGGTAGCTCTTCCGGCAGTTATGCACCTAGATTGTCAAGAAACCCACGTGCGCAAAGTCTGCTCTTGACGGTCCATTCGAACACGGTGCCAGCTTCGAGCTGCTTCCACTGACGTACCCATACGCAACCTTTTGAGTATCGGGAGCATTCGCCGATGGATATTGGTCTCCAGACCTGAGCTTCCACAAACTGCTTGGCATCCTGTCTGCTTCGTCGACCAATTCGAAGTGTTCTGCAATGTCCCTTGGGCCGAGAATTGGTGTCAGAGGTCGTAGCAAAGCATCCGCCAGTAATAGCATCGATGTAGAGATATGATCTCGCTCGAAAGATCCAGGGACACGACAAACGATTGGTTTCTGGTCCAGTTGGAGGCGGGGTCGTCGTTGCCAAGCAGGGTGAAATGCTTTATCTTGTTGAGAAAATGTTCTGCCACCAGTTCGCGTTGAAAATTTACCGTTCTGCGAACCTCCTCGCTGTGTTCATGTAGTTCTGGGATGACATCTCCCTTCGTGGCGAAACACAATCTATGCTGAAATATCTCTTCTGCTGCCGAACAATACAATGCGTCCACAACATGATTTCCACGATCGTTGATTTGCCGTTCAGACCTGGATCGGTCCTCGTTCCACTGCGGTTGGTAATCGATGGTTGCGTCGCCGTCGCTCTCCTTCGTGGGTTGCGGCATTGTCGTGTCTGGTGACGGCTCTTGTTCTCGTAGTGGTAGATGAACCGAACGTGAGTGATCTTCATCACGTCCTGGAAGTATTTGCGATTCCGCACTACTGCTATGGTCTGCCTTGTCAGGTCCTTAGGCCGATCTCGATCTGTCATCAGGCCGAGGGTGTTCGGCCGTAGATTTTGCTTGACCGAGGGCATACTTAAGGGTGCGATCCGCTTGGCCAGGTGCATGTTTCAGAGTACGATCGCCACTTGTGGTAATGGGGCTGTGTTGCTCTTGTAGTTCCCATTCGCGATCAGGTTCATGAGGTTCTCGTGATCGACTTCTGCTGCGATCATGCCCCCGGTCTTCTCCGAGAAGTAGCACTGGCCCGCTGCTGCAAGATGCTTCCTGTTGTGGGTCTCTTGCAGGTTCGGTTTCAGTATCATCAGGCGCGTCATCGAACTTGACCTGCTGCCACTGAGTTCGAGTTGGTGATGTCGTGCGCCGTCGCTTTAATATAGATGTCTGTCACCCCGATCTGTCTTCGCCATGAGATCTAGGCATGGCCGCTACAGGCGATGCAAGTATGTCCAAGACAGATGGCCATGCTGTATCTCGACTCTCGTTCGACGGGTCAGCTCTGATAGGTGACCCTGAAACTGGAATGTCCTTCCGTGGAATCGATGGTGTCGCTTTCGGCGCGTTGCCGCAAGATGGAGGAACTCCTCGTCCGAGATGTCGTCCACGTCTTTGTCTATAGATGCCGATCTCTTCTGTTGTGATTGTTGTTCTGCTCGTCCTGACCGATCGCCTGGAGGTCTTGCCGGGTCGTTGTCTGTGGCAGGTGCCAAGATGGAAGATTGAGTTCTCGAAATTGTTTCCAGCGCGCTGTCCATGAATTCAGATGGTCGGTCTCCTGGAAATGCTGACGCTGGAACCTGAGCTTGTCCGGGTATCTGATGAGATCCCGGCTGCTGAGGAGGTGCTGGACGTTGTTGATCATGTCCTTGCTGTGCTGGTAGCTCATCGTACCCAGTTGGTTTCCACCACAACGTAGGAGGTGTCGGTGGGAACAGCTGCGTCGGCGGTGTCCAAGGCACGTCTCCAACCTCCTCGATAGCCGAAACATCTGACATATTTGGCACAGAGTCCTACACTGGTTTTTTCCTCGCACCGTTTAGGCACAGAGGTAATGCACGAATAAAGGTTAGGAGCGCCCTGAACAATAGTAGCCAATCGCAGCGCATGGGCCAAATCCATTTGCTGAACAATATATCTGAACCTGTTGCGTCGCAACCACACGAGAATACTGCCCTTGCGGATGCCGTAGCACGTGCTGGTGCCGCGCAGTTGCGCGCCGTATATGATTGCCCTCGGAGTTGCGATCTACAGGGGCGAATCGCAAATCCTCGCTGCCAACTGAAGTATCTGTAGAGTGTTAATTTCGAAATCGCTGGGCACTGCCACCTGCGTTCCACTTGCATCATGTACCACGCCAGTTGTAACAATTGGGCTTGGCATCTGCCCATCCACTGTGTCCAACATTTGGTGCAACGAAGTGTAGAGACCATCGCGTGGGTGATCTTGCCACCTGCCTCCTCCTTCTGTGAGCAGATGCGTCCGTGGACAGGACATCGCAACTAGGTAAGCTCGTTCTCGATGAGGTCGAATGTGTCCACGAGGTACGACGCGCGGCATGGACTGGTGCTTGGCGATAGCCACGTTCTCTTGCATGCTGATATCCAGTAAGTCGCAAGGTCTTCTCCAGTCTGACTGATATCTGCGACCTGGTACTCGGTAGAGGCCAACGAAAACTTGAAGTGGTCGAAGCTTGGCCACGTCCGAGAGAATCTGCACCTTGGTGTTGTTGGCCTGTGCGATACGCTGCTCGATGACTGCCTTCTGTGCTGTACTTTTTGCCATCGCGCGCAGTCTCAAGTGGGTCTCGAAGGTGTCTGGGTTTGACTCTCGAGCTCCGTCGATGGCCAACGTTGAATCTGAGCTGTGGTCGAACAGTCCTATGGGATGGTGACCTTGTAAGCATTGAGCTCGTGTGAAACCGCCGTGCTCCTACAGGAAATTCTGACGCATGGTAGATTCGAACACTATGTCCTCGTCTTCGACTATCAGCCCTTGTTTTTCCACTTGCGCCTTGACCTTGAGAGCCGAGGCCTTGATCAGACCGATGTGACGTTCTGCCAGTCCTGTTGTAGCATGCTTGCCTGTCAGCACATGCTGCGT